AATACCAACATATTAACTATTTCTACAATTTCAATATTCAAATTATAGATTAAAGATGAATTATCAAGAGTATGATTATTAAATTTAGTATTTATATACTTTATCAATTTTTCAAGATCAAATTCATGATCCATAATACGTTCTTTGAATCGAGTGAATTTTTCAAATTTGTTATAGAATTTTATGATCTCAGCATAGTCTAGTATCTTGATATCTTTATTATTATCAAATTTCTGATATTGTGTAAATTTTATGTTAACCATTTTATTTATTTTATTAGACATTTTATCAATCTTTTATAGCTTTTGAAATTGTAGCTTAGCTCTGAACGATTATATAAAGACCTAGTTTTTACCTTTATCTCTGTCTAGTTTTAAAAGAAAACCAGACAGACTTTTAATTCATCAAAATCTATAACAAAAAGGTGAGAGAGTCGTTACTGTGTTTTCTTGTTTATCACCCAATAAATACATTCACTAACTCTCACTTCTGCATCTGAATTTAATAATGATACGGCTGATCATTCAAAATAACTGGTATTCATAATTGTGATTCATTTACTTGAATTATTTATGATATAAACCCAGAAATGGGAAAATCAAAACCTGGATATTATGCTGTTCGTGTAGGAAGAAGACAAGGGATCTATTTAACTTGGGAAGATTGTAGGTCGCAAGTTAATAGATTCTCAAATGCAAAATATAAAAAATTTGATTACAAAGATCAAGCAGAACAATATATTAAAGGAGAAAAAGAAATAATTAATATTGATTCAAATACTCTTCAAGTTTGGACAGATGGAAGTGCATTTGATAATGGAAGTAATAATGCTCGAGCAGGTATAGGAGTATTTTGGAAAAAAAATGATTCTAAAAATTTAAGTGAACAGTTACCTGGAAAAGAATAGACAAATAATCGTGCAGAAATATTTGCTGTAATTAGAGCATTAGAGGTTTGTGAAGATAAAAGAAAGAAATTAGAGATAATAACAGATAGTAAATATGTAATTAATGCATATGAAAAATGGATAAATAAATGGGAAAAAAATGGTTGGATGACATCTTGTAATACATCTGTAAAAAACAAAGATTTGTTCATTAGATTGAAAAGATTAATAGAAAATCGTATTAAAACTGTAAAATTAGTTCATGTACGTGGACATCAAGGGAATTATGGTAATGAACAAGTTGATAAATTAGCAAAACAAGAATCATTAAAGGAATATGTAAAAGAAATAGAAAAAAAAAGTGAAAGAAAAATAACAGATTATTTTAAATAAAATTTAAAAGTTTTAAAATTTTTTAAAAAATTTTGAGATGTTTTGAAAATGAGTAGCGTTTTTCATGTGAGAATTTTTAATTCTCACATAACATAAGCATGAGGCGTTTAAAACATCGTAAAAATTCTTAACTAACACCTCACTGAAAGGGAGGTTGAGGATTTATTAAATTCAGATGCATTCACTATTTTTTGTCAGTGGCCACTAGACAAAAAAGAAGTGATTAATGCGTCGCTGGCAAAGCAGACGCAAGTATAAGAATTAAATATAGATTTATATATGTAATACAAATTGTTTATCTTATTTTATTTAATATTTTATATAAATATAAATAAAGAAATATTATTACGTTAAAAATGTCTTTGACTGGAGGTGATTTACTTTTGAAAAAATATAATGATTCATTACAAGAAAATTCAAATTTATTATAAAGAAATCTTGCATTATTAAATGATAAACAAGATTTAATGAAAAGAAATGAAGATATTACAAAAAAAATAAATGATTTAGAAGAATCGATAAAAAAACTAATTGAAGAAAAAGAAAAACAGAATAAAATAATTCAGCTTTTATTAAAAAATCAAACTGAGCGAAGTGTTAAAACAACTGATATTTTATTATTTATAATTATTAATCTTATAACTATTCATTTATTTTATTTTATTATTATATATAATAATAATATTAATATTGTAATGATAAGAGAATAATATAGTATAAAATATAAATAAAATAATATAAATAGATTACGTATTTTTTTTTTTAA